TGAGCCGCCTGGGGTGGAGGGCCCGCAGGGCAGCAGGGGGCGCGCGCAGCCTGGCTCTCCACTGGGGACCCTCTGGGTTCTCGTCACGGCTGCCCATCCTTGGATCCATCACAGGAAGCTGAGCCGTCCTCTGGGGACCCCGAGTCTGGAAGGCGTGCCCTGGGAGCAGGAGGTCTGTCCTCGTGTCCGCGCTGTGACCCTCGCGTGACCTGTGCTGCAGTCTCTCCCCACTCAGGCCAGAGGAGGGGCCTGGCTTCTGCTGGGTTTCTGGCTGGTGTACTTCCTGTCTGTCCCCATTTGAGGGGGACGGCACCCTGTGAGCATGTGCATAGGCGGTCGCTGCACCCCATCCCCATGGGGGTCACTGCACCCCGTCCCCATGGGGGTTTGCAGCACCCCATCCTCCGGGGTTCACTGCACCCTGTCTTTTTGGGAGTCACCACACCCCGTCCTCGTAGGGGGTCGCTGCACCCCATCCCCATGGGGGTTTGCTGCACCCCATCCTCCGGGGTTCACTGCACCCTGTCTTTTTGGGAGTCACCACACCCCGTCCGCGTGGGGGTCACTGCACCCCGTCCCCATGGGGGTTTGCAGCACCCCATCCTCCAGGGTTCACTGCACCCTGTCTTTTTGGGAGTCACCACACCCCGTCCTTGTAGGGGGTTGCCACACCCCGTCCGCGTGGGGGTCACTACACCCCGTCCCCATGGGGGTTTGCAGCACCCCATCCTCCGGGGTTCACTGCACCCTGTCTTTTTGGGAGTCACCACACCCCGTCCTGGGAGGTCGCCGCACCCCGTCCACGTACTGTTGGAAAGGGGTGGAGGCGGTGGTCAGTGGCCGGTCCAAACTCTCGACTGGCTGGCAGCTCCTGGACGTGCGGGGCTGCTCCCCGTCCCAGAGCCTGCGACCGGCACCTTATTGGAAAGGGATCTCTGCAGACATGGCTGAGTGACGGGCCTCCCGACAAGGCGTGGTCCTGGGGCCCTGACTGCTGCTCCTGTCTCTGTAAGAGGGGGCGGGTACGGGTCCGGCCTTGGACAGAAGACACACACCCAGAGGCTGAGCAGCCACAGAGCCGAGGCTGGGGATGCAGACACGAGCTCAGGGCCCCCAGGGCCCCCAGGGCCCCCAGAGCCAGAGAGGCAGGAAGGGTCTTGCCCCTGGAGCCTGGGGACTCCCCTCCAGGCCGTGAGTCCTGACTGTGGCCTCAGAACTGGGAGACAGCACGTCTTCAGGTGTGAGCTGCCTGGCTGGGGACCACTTGTTACGGGGGACACAGGTGCACTGTCCCTCAGGCCCTGGGGCCTGGGGGTCCTCCTCTCTGTTGAAGCCCAGATCCGCATGCTGAGCCCCCAGGGACAGGGCAGGTACCAGCCTGGGTCTGTGAACAGCACAGATTTAAGAGGAGACCTGAATCCAGGCTGCCGTCAGGAGGGGCCTTGAGTCCTGGCAGCATTGGGGGGTGCTTGGAATATGAGGGGCCCCCCAGGCTTGCCGCAGACGCGCTCCATGCCGGGATCCCGGGCAGGTTTTCTGGGCAGGCCCTTTATTGGGGCGCTGACGAAGCAGGTTTGAAAAGGCTGGCTTCCCATGCGCTCTGCCACCTCACGGACGCACCGTCTCCCTCGGATCGTTCAGGGACTCTGGAGCTGCAGGGCCTCTACCCCAGCAAGAGTGGGGCTTCCTAGGGGCGTGTCCGCCCTCAAAGCCCGGGAGCGTTTCCTAAGATCGCAGAGGCACTCAGTCTTGAAGAAATGTGTGAGTTTGGACGCTGGAAAAGTGGATTTTTTCAGGGGTTGGTCGGCTGCATCACTGAAGCTTCCTCCTTTCCACTCATGCAGACCGCCCCGCGTCCATGTGGCCTCCAACGGGCACATGTGTCCTGCCCATCGGCCTGGCTGTGTGTCCCCCCAGCCTGCCCACAGGGTGGACGGCCCAGCGTCCCTGGCTCTGGTGGACGGAAGAGGACCCTGGGCGAGGGAAAGTGTGGCTGGGCCTCCTGGCCTCTCGGGAGGCAGGGGTCCAAGCTTTCCCGTGAACGCCCCCGACAGCTCCATGCCTGTAGCCCCCACCTAGGCAGCAGGAGCCCGCAGCAAAGGCCAAGGCTGCCTGACGGTGATGGAGAGGGATGACCCGGAGGAGAAAGCGTGGGATGACCTGGAGGAGAAAGCGTCTGGTGCGAGGGCCTCAGCCTGTCCCTGGCAGCCCAGAACACTGGGCTGAAGGAGGGCCCCTCAGATGCTGGAGAAGGGGGGCACGATCTCCCCCTGCTGGGGGCCCCCGGGGTCGGCAGGAGGCCAGGCCCAGGTCTGAGCACGGCTGGGTGGTGGGCTGGGTCACCCGCAGGCCCCTGCTGGTGGGCAGAGGAGCCCCAGATGCCATGGGGACAGAGTCACGTCCCTGAGCAGAGTCGGAGGCGGTTGGTGCCAAGGACTGTCCAGGCAGGGGCAGGATGGGGGTCGGGAAGGCGGGGCTGGAGGGTTTGTAGGCGGAAGCTGGGGTTCCCTTGAGGAGCGGGGAAGGGCATGAGGCAGGAGTTTGCTGTTAGGGAGGGTCTGCAACTGGGGACTCCACCTGGGGACAGAGGCCAGCACAGGTGGGCCTCCAAGGAGCGGTGGGGCCTGGGCAGTGCCCTTGCATGCATGGGGATGTCATCCATTCTCTTCCAGTCTTGCTGGACGGTCTGGGTTTTCCAGCCACGTGGGAGGCTGCCGGCAGGGGTGGCCGCATGTCTGGCTGGGAGCCCTGCGCTGCGTGTCCTACGTTACAATCTAAGTTCTTGGCCCTTCTATTGAGCTGCAGCAGTGCGGATGAGAGGGCATCTTTATGTAATCAGGATGGATGGGACGGAAGTCACCAGTCACAGGGCCAAGCGTGGCTGCGCTTCCCGCAAGCCTCCTCACCCCCTTGTCTGATGGCTCTGCATCACAGACACCGCTGGTGACGCGTTGGATCTTAAACTGGCCTGTCCTTCTGTCAGGCTGTGCGTGGAGGGACGTTCCGAGTGTCCCAAACTCCCAGCCCTGTTAGGGAAGGCGGGCACCATCTGGGGAGGCGAGCACGTCCGTTGCTGACCAGAGCCAGCTTGGTTGTGTCCTTGGTGAGTCTGTGATTGTAGCGTTGGGAGCATCTCAGGGTCCCGCCAAGGCTCACGCAGACCCTGTCCTGTCCCCTCCCCAGCCCAAAGCATGTATTAATATCTCGTCTGTAACCAGCACTGCCTGCCAAAAATAAGTGCTCAGATTATTTTAAAACAAAAAGATGGAAGGAATTATTGAACTTTCAACTCTTCTAAGCTCATGTGTAGAGGCCACAGGTGGGCTTTGCTTTTCTTTGAGCGCTCGGGTGAGCCAGGCAAGCAGTGAGGAAATTCTCGGGTCCCCCACCTCGTGGCTCTGGGGGCCGAGTCCTCAAGGCCAGCCTCTCCACCAGCCCTGGGGCTCCAGCAGGTCCCCAGAGGCGGGTCTCGGGGCCTCGGCCGTTTTCCCCCCCAAGACTGACTGAAAGAAAGGCTGCGCCCAGCCGAGTCTCAGATCCTTAGATCCCGGGGTAGTGCTTCCTGCAGCTCTTCTCACCTCTGTGATTTAAGGAGGTGAATACAGGGGGCTCTGCCCTGGGCGGGGTCGTCAGGAGTCACGCAGGATCTGAGCCTCCGGCCACCTGCCCAACGGGGAGGCTGGCTGGGCGCCTGGCTGGGGGACGTGGTGGAGAGGGAGCCATCCAAGCCGGGGGGCAGAGTCCTCACCAGGCACGTGCTGCCCGTGCCTGAGCCCCTGGGCCCGTCTGTCCATGTTCTGGCCCCGCAGCACGTGGCAGGGACCGCAGGGCCCACAGCCTCGCCGGACGATGGCTGGCCCTGGCGGCCCCCTGTGATGCGGTCCCTGTGGCCAGCTGACCTGCCGGCCTCTGGCCAGGCACTGCGCCTGCTCCCCACAGACACCCGGAACCTCCGCTTCACAGCTCACTTTGATTTTATGGAAAAATTTAACCGCAAGCCAGGGTCTTATGATTGGAATTTATCTTGGCATCCACTGGGTAGAGCGCTCAGGCTGGACTCCGTTTGGCTAGAGGGGCCCTTGTGCTTGTGTGTGGGGAAACCGCGGGGCCTCCGCGCTGGGCCAGCAGGCACATCCCGGGCAGCGGGCTGCATGGCGGAGGCGGTGGCGCCTATCACAGCGAGCTCGGGCACACCGCCCACCTGGCCTCCTGAGAAAGCTGTGAACGTCACCTGGTTCTAAGCGGGAGTGGTTAGGAGACAGATGGGAAGGGTCCCCTCTACCCTGGGCCCAGCCCCGCTCGCCCCGCATCTGTTCTGACGCGGTTGGCAGAGCCAACCCCGGGGACTCAGTTCTGTGGTTTTCCGGCTCGGCGGAAGGTTGCTCCCGTTTTCCCGTAACTGGCCTCAGGATCGGCCGTGGGGGCCGGGGCCGGGGCCGGGGGGCGGGGGGTGTCTTCTCTCTGCGCCCTAGGCCCGGTCCCGCTGGAGGAGGCGCCCTCGGCCTGGGCCCCCTGAAGGAGGTGCCCCCCCCAGTCCCGGCCCCCTGGCTCCTGGGCCTTGCGGGGGCGCTCCCCGGCTCTTGTCCAGCTGAGGCAGGAGGTGCTGTGTGCCGGCCGGTGAGCGGACGGATGGCAGGTGGGCTTGGCCGTTCACAGCCGGGCTTCTGGTCTGTGCCCGCCTTGCTCAGCAGAGGCTAGGTGGGAGCCTTGTTCTTGCTGCCCCGCGCCCTCAGGCGAAGCCGTGTCCTTGGGGGCGGGGGGGTGGGGGGGACGCAGGGTGCACTGAGAACCACTGTGCCCCACGTCTCGTCCCGGAGGCGGTTTTAACAGAGCCAGCCACGCCCAGGGATGGGCACGTGTCACGTTCAGAACCCGAGGCTGAGTGAGCGTGGACGGGCTGCTGCTCCCGCAGCAGGAGCGTGACGCCCAGGAGGCAGGTCCGGTGCCCGCCCTGAGCTCAGGCGGGGTGTCCATGGTCTGCGCTGTCCGTTCTCCTGCAGGAGCTGCTGGGCGGGGACCCCAGGGAAGGGCCTTTCCGCGATGACCAGTGTCCCTTTGAGGGTGAGTCCCGCTCCCCAGCCCTGGACACCCTGAACCACCCTCACCCCGCGCCCCTCCACTTACCTCCCAGACCCCGGCCAGCCCAGATTTGAAGCTGCCGCAGCCAGACGGTGGATACCCCAGGCCAGGGTCACCCCGAGGGCCACCCTGGCCTCCCTCCCAGGCCACCTGATGCCCTGTGCCTGGACTCTCGGCTCAGACTCTTCTGGGAGGGTCACGGGCTGGGAGCCACCTACCACCTCCCCCTGGGCCGGACACCTGGCCCACCCCCTTGCCCCCCACAGTGGTGCTGCCTCCTGAGAAGGCCGAGGCCCGCGAGGGGCCAGGACAGCTCTTCTGCATGGATGATGGAGAGAGAGCGGCTGGCCGCGAGGGCGCCCGCGGGCTGGGCAAGCGGCGCCTGAATGTGGATGTAGGTCTTTGTCCTCCTCCTGCGATGCCCTGACGTGGGGTCCCCATGGCTCCTGGGGTGGCAGGCTCTGCTGGGTAGAGGGGTCCCCATGCACCTGGCCAGAGCTGGCTGCTGTGGCCCTACGTAACCCGTGGGACTTTCCCGGACTTCAGTGCCAGAGCGGTGGGAATGACCCAGAAGCCAGGTCATGCACGGACTGACCCGTCTCCCTGCCTGGCCAGGAGGGGTGGGGACTGGTCCCCGGAGGACGCGGCAGGGTTGGGGGCCCGGCACGTGGGCAAGGACGACCTGCGCCCGTACCCCCACACCCCACAGGCAGTCCAGTGTGACGTGTCGGTGGAGGAGGACAATCACCAGGAGTGGACCTTCACGCTCTATGGCTTCGACAACAGCGGGAAGGCAACCAGAGAGGTGATGAGGCCTGGGTCCCACCCTGGGGACATGGCTGGGTCCTCCAGGAGGGAGGAGAGGCAGGGAGCTTTCCTGGGTCAGGCTGTGGGGAGGGAGCCACTGCAGGACAGGACCCAGGTCACCAGCAGGGCCAGCTGGAGCCTTGTCCATTCCCCCAGGCCCGGCCACTGTGCCGTTCCTGGTGGAGCCTAGCCAGCCCTGGCCATCTCTGCCCTGGCCAGCAGCCCCTCAGCAGGGCAGTGAGGGTCCCAGGGGTGCCCCTGGCATGCCGTCCCTGCTGCCTCTGTTTCCAGAAGGGCAGAGGGCCCCTCAGAAGGAAGCAGACGTGGAGGATGGCTGAGACAGCATGTCTGAGTTAAAAGCAACTTTGATCGTTTGTCTGCTCGCTAAGCCCTTTGAACTCAGATGCAGTTTGAACTTGAAAAGCTCAGAGAGATGTGGTTCCAGCAGGGCTGCTGGCTTGGGCCGCTTGGTGCCTCTGTGGGGCACGGGAAAGGAGTGGCGGGCGGTGGGCAGTGTGGGCTGGGCCCCCCATTCTGTCTGCACCCCGACGTCCGCCCCCCCCACCCCCCAGGACATGTCCAGCCTGATGCACACCATCTATGAAGTCGTCGACGCTTCAGTCCACCACTGCTCGGGCAGCAGCAAGACTCTCCGTGTGAAGCTGACCGTCAGCCCTGAGCCGTCCAGCAAGAGGAAGGACGGGCCCCCTGCTGCCCAGGGTGAGGGCCTGGGCTTCCGGGCCCCAGCGGCTCCCCGCTCAGGTGCTCCGGAGGCCCTGCCCTGCGTGTGGTCCCTGCCTCCTGCACCCCCCGCCCCACGCTGCCTCTCCCCTGAGCGCCTGCTCACCATGCGGGGTGGGGGGTGGTAACTGTGACCCCTGCGCAGCGTCCCCTTCACGGCAGAGGAACATGGAGAGCCAGGTGAGGGCTGGAGCCTGTTCCGTGAAGGACCGGGTGTGCGGGGGCTTCAGTGAGCGAGTGAGGAGCGAGAATGAATGCGTAAGAGTGGAGGTGAATGCGTGAGTGGGGAGGGACGAATGAATGAAGGCGTGACTAAACGTGTGGATGAATGAATGAGTGATGAATGAACGACTGGACACATGCATGAGTGAAGGAAGGCATGAATGAATGAGTGAACATGCAGGGCCGGTGAGGACGTGAGCAGAGTGTGAATGAACGGGTAGCTGGGTGAGTGAAGGCTGCCTGCGTCCCCCGCTTTCAGACCGTGAGCCCAGTCGCTGCAGGACAGAGGCGGAGCTCAGTGAGGACCCCAGGGTGGCTGACAGGAGGCTGTCCACACACGTCCGGTGAGGGCCTGGGGTCCACCTCGGCTCCCTCAGACGGGAGCAGCCTGGCCACACCCCTGCTTCCCACAGGCCTCAAGGGCTGTTCCCTCGGGGTAGCCCCGGGCACTCCCTGCCCCCGGGTGGGAGCTGGGCAGGCCCAGTGTCGTCTGAGAGGCCGTGGGGCTTCAGAGGCAGCTGGGGGGCGGTCTCCGGACCCTCAGCCCGCTTGCTCCCGGGCCCTGTTGTTCCACCCCCTGGGGGCAGCGGCCACGGAGCCCTCACCAGCTCCTGGGTGACGACGGTGGTGGAGGTCGCTGGGTGGCTCCAGGGTCCTGGGGCCCCATGGGCCCTGCTTGTCCCTAACCTTGCGGGTTCAGAGTGCCGGAGATCAGAGCTATACCCTCCTCCTGCTCCTCGCAGGAGGCCCAACGCCGACCCCCACCCCTGCTCGGAGCGGGGTCCCTACTGCGTGGATGAAAACACGGAGCGGAGGAACCACTACCTGGACCTGGCCGGAATCGAGAACTACGCGTCCAAGTTCGGGCCAGGTGAGTCCTGGGGACCTGGCCCCCAGGCGCCAGGCCTGAGGGTCGCGGGTCCTGGCAGCAGCGGGTCCAGTGGGACAGAGCCGGCCCCTCGGAGGCCCTCACGGCTGCTGTGTCTGCAGGGTCCCCCCCGACGCAGGCCCGGCCGGAGCCCCCCGCCAGGGCCTCACACCCGCAGGGCCGGTCCCGCTCACAGGAGTCAGACGCGCACGCCGCCCACCATCGCCGCTGCCCGGGGCTGGCCGAGCTCGCCCTGCCGGCCGCTGAGCTGCCGCCCCGGGCCCTGGACCTGCCGCCCCGGCCAAAGGGCCCCGAGCGGCCGCTCCTGAGGTCCCCCCAGGGCTCGGGCCGGCCCCCAGGCGTGCCCAGCGGGCTCAGGCCCGGGCGGTCCTTCAGCTTCCACCCGCCTGCGCCCCTGCCGCAGGCACCCCCGGAGGCCCACCCCGTCCCGCAGCCGCCGCCCCCGCCCTACGGCCACCGGCGGTGCCGGCAGCGGGCGCGGGAGGGCCACTCGCCGCTGAAGGCCGCGCCCGGCCCGCCGGCGGCACTGGAGCAGGAGCTGCCGCCCGCGCTCCTGGGCGAGGCCTTCCCGGGGCCGGCCGTGCAGAGGCACGAGCACCACCACCACCACGAGCACCACCACCACCACCACCACCACCACCACCCGGCCTAGCGCCCGGCCCCGCCCCCCGCCGGCGGCCCCGCCCCCCAAGCGCTCCGTGGCGTCCCGACACCCGCGTTCGCTTTGAGATGCCTGCACCTGCTTCTATCGTGATTCCAGTGTGAGGCCCAAGGGCAGGAGGGACCCTGCCGGCCGGTCCTGGCCATTTTTTTCCCCCGCATAGCAAGCGCTGGGGGGGCTTCGCTTGGGGGCGGGCGGGGAGCCTTGTGGTCACCCAGGCCTGGGTGGGCGGGGGTCTTTGCGGCTCCTACAGTCCATCGTGAAGCCGGGTGGGCGGTCAGGGAGCCGCCGCCACCCGAAGCCCCGGGGTGAGCGCAGCCCGCAGACGGGGGAGGCGACTCCCCTTCAGTCGTCCGGGAGCCGGGAGCCGAGAGGAAGCAGGCTGTGGGCTTGCCCCCAGCACCCTAAGAGGACGCAGAGGCCGCGGTGGGGCTGGGGAGGTATGGGCGCCCCCGAGACACGCACGTGGCCAGCTGGGCGGAGGCGGCCTCCAGTTCTCCGTGGACTCGAAAGTGCCCCCTCGAGCGCCATGCACAGCTTCAGCTTTGGGAAAGCACCCTTCCCGCCAGAAGGCGGGAGAGGACTGCAGGGAGCAGGGCGCCCAACACCCTGGAACCTCAGCCCGTGGGTCCCCCGAGGCCCGATGCGGCCGCCGCTCCACAAGCCGCTTGTGAATTTGTGCCGCTGGTTTTGTATTTGCCTCCTTGGCACTGTTTTTATGGATAAAGCAACTTGGTGATCAACCTGTGATTGCGTTTTCCCCAGTCCTAATAAAAATACGTGCATTTGGTAACATCACACTTTGTTTTCAAGTGAGTTTTCCATAGAGTTGGTTGGTTCACGTCCGCAACGGAGTGTGGACACAAGTGCGCCCAGGCGGTGCTCGGCCGGGACAGGCGTGCTCTTGGGTGAGATGGCGTGTCTGTGTCTGTGACCTGCAGGCGGGCCCACCGCTCCACGTATATGGGTCACTCTCACCCCGCTTCACTGCTTTCAAAAGGAGAAAGAAAAAACCCAAGCCTGAAATTGGGCTCACGCCACGCGTCTGTTTGCTCAGTTGCTTCAGCTGTGTCCAACTCTGTGCAGCCCTGTGGACTGTAGCTACCAGTGGGTTTCCATTGGCTCCTCCAGGGGATTTTCCTGATGAAACCTGCATCTTGGGAAGACCCCCTAAGCCTGAAATTGCATTCACACTCCAGGGCCACTTCAACCGCTGTCTGGGGGGCTCTGTGGACCGGGGTTGGGTGGCAGTGCTGGCTCTCTGTGGATAAGAATGTCTGGAGAAGAGGGCCTCCTCCTCCAGACCCCATGTTCACAGCTGCTTGAAAGACCCCTTGGCATCTCCCAGGAGCTGGTCGTCCGTGAGCTGTGGCCCACACCCTCGGGGAGGAGCTGGGGTTTCATTTCAGGATCTCGGGAGGAGCAGGCCAGGCTGGCCCAGAGGCCCGCGGCCGAGCGGGCGGGGTGCGGCCTCCTCGTGACCGCGTCCCGTGAGATCGCTGTGAGCCCCGCTCCCTGCGCCCTGCCCCTCGGCCTCGGGGGCCCACAGGACTGTCCTCCCCAGCCCCGGCCTTCCCCCATGCGCAGACCCACCCAGCCCTGCCACTGCCTGCACCGCCCTCGGGCACAGGCTCGCTGACCCAGCAGCTGCATGGGAGGCCTGCACTTGAGCCGGAGTCCAGACCCTGGCTTTAATGACAAAACGTTAAGTGAGAGGCCGCTCTCGGACGGAGCCGAAGCAGAGCATGTCTGCGGCTTGTGGCTCAGGAGGACGGACGCCCACCCCTGCCCCAACCCCAGCATGGGTTCAGGGTGGCCGGAAGGGACAGAAGCTGTGGACGGCCACCACGCACGAGGTCCTGGGTCACACGGACGTGGTGACCAAACATCCACATGTGGACAACAGCTGTCTCCCGGACGTGGCGGCTTGCTCTGGAGCTGAGGGCTCGGCCCTTGGACCACCTGGGTCAGGGGAAGTGGACGTCCTCCTGGAAGAGGCTGTGACGGCCGGAGACAGAGGTGGGGAGTCTGGGGGCCGTGTACGGCCTGCTTCAGGGGCAGCGCCTGCCTGCTGCCCGAAGGCCCCGGTGCCAAGTCCACACTCTTGCTGGGCACCAGGAAGGCCTCGTGGTGACCGGTCAAGGGAGGAGAATTGCCTTTTGTAACAGAAACAAACAAAAAAACTAACTTACTTGTTTAGACCTGGCTACTGGACACCTCGGAGCAGGACCGATCTGTCTCACATTCTGAAAGTCCTTCTGGAGAGCGGCTGCCAGACAAACCTAGCACTGAGTGGGTGAGGGTCTCTGAGACCCTGCAGTGCGGCCTCTGTGCTGCCCAACCCAGGGCTGGCAGTCGTCTCGGCCACCAAGCCCTGATCCCGGGCAAGGAGCTCTGGCCCCCCCGCCCCCTCTGATCTTCCCCCTGCCCACTTTCTGGATGGTGAGGCTCAGGCACAGTCTGAGGGTCTGGCACTGCTCCATCAGTGGCTCCGGGCAGGCCTGCCAGGCCTGTGCCGCTCGTCTGGACCCTGCGGCCTGAGCTTGGGCCTGTGGTTGTCTCCCCAGCTGAAAGGCGAAGTCAGAGCGCGGCCTGCTTCCCTGGTGCGGCGGTGCTGACACGGCCCAGCGCCCAGCCTGCGGCCTCCCTCCTCCACCCGCCCTGAGCACAGACGAGACAGGTCCTTTATATCTGCACCATGGGCCCTTGTGTAGGACACGGAAGACGGGACTGCTAAGGGCCCCCCAAGCCAGGACCCCACACAACACTGTCCCACCCCACCCCAGACCCCACACGACCCCCGCACGACCCCCACATGACCCTGGCCCACCCCAGCCCGACTCCCTCACCGCCCTCGCCCCTCAGGCCTCTCTGCACCTGAGATGACCCCGGGCCCCACCCCATATGCCCCCACCCCGTGCCAGCCGCCTGGTCTGGGCCTGGACGGCCGGGAAGAGCGGCCCCACCGCTGGCATCAGCCAAGCCCTCCCTCGGGCTCCAGAGCTTCCGCTCCCACCCAACACCCATGGCGCCTCGGGTAGGGCTGGCGATGGGGCTGGGGGTCGCTGCCCTGGGAGGAGCAGGCACAAGGCCGGGGCCCCAGCCGCCTCTCCACCCCTGAAGAGCCTGATGTTGCACCAGGCGGGCCACGAACCCACGGGACAGACGACGGGACGGCCGCTGTCCACACGCACCGCAGGAGGGGGCCGAACTCGGCACCTCCCCAGAGACTCAGTAGACAGCCTGGCAGGGACACGGGGGGGATGGACGGGCAGCTGAGGTTACAACCAGTGCTGTATCCAAGGGGAGGCGCGGTGAGGGGAGGCTGTACTGATGAGAGCATGGAGCCTGGGGCGGGGGGACAAGCGGGGGTCTGGGTGGGACGAGAGGGGGGGTCTGCGGGGGACGAGAGGGGGTCTGGGGGGGACGAGAGGGGGTCTGTGGGGGAGAGATGGGGTCTGTGGGGGACGAGAGGGGGTCTGGGGGGGACGAGAGGGGGTCTGTGGGGGAGAGATGGGGTCTGTGGGGGACGAGAGGGGGGTCTGTGGGGGAGAGATGGGGTCTGCGGGGGATGAGAGGGGGTCTGCGGGGGACGAGGGGGGTCTGTGGGGGAGAGATGGGGTCTGTGGGGGAGAGATGGGGTTTGCGGGGGACGAGGGGGGTCTGCGGGGGACGAGGGGGGTCTCGGGGGGACAAGAGGGGGTCTGGGGGGGAGTGTACTGATGAGAGCATGGAGCCCAGGGGATGACATGAGGGGGTCTGGAGAGCACGAGTCAGACATTGCTGGCGAAACCAGGGAGGCACGGACCCCAGTGCAGAGGCAGGGAGTTGGCCTGGAGGCCAAGGGGTCATGCCCTCCTCGAAGCATTTTTTGTGACCTGAACAGGCTGTGCGCCTGCCCGGCCTCTTGCTCCATTATCCTGTGGCTGCCCTGTCACCCACGCCTCTCTGGCTCCCCCAGCTCTGGGGCCCGAGGGGTAGCTGACTGTGACGCCCACATGTCTCAGTGGGATGCTCTGGGCTCCCCAAGGGAAGCTCAGCCCTGCACTGTCTCAGGACTGACTGGCGCCATCGAGAACGCGTGTCCTGCCCGCCCGGGCTCCCACGTAGGGACAGCTGAGCAGGGAGGAACACACTCAGACACGCCTTCATGGGAGTCCGTGTCCACTGGCTATCATGTCCAGCAGTGGAACTGCTGGGTCACCCTGCTTAACCCTGAGAAGCAGCAACAGCGGCCCTAGCTGTCTCTCCGTGATCGGGCACCACCTGCTGGTCTCCCTCCCTCGGGTCCACCTCTCGGGCGGGAGGACCGTCGCAGCCCCAGCCCGCGTGTCCGAACAGAAGGCCCCTCGCCACGGTTCTCTCCCAAGTCTCCCAGGGGGATTACGGCAGAGTCGCCCAGCGGACAGCAGGACTTCACGGCCGGGCTGCCCACCAGGGTCTGGGGACACAGCTCGGCACCCCATCACCCGCTGTGGTTACTCTGGTCTGTTTTTATTTCAGCCCGTTCACGCGGTCAATCTTCCAGCACCTGGGTTTGCCCTGCTGATCAGACTTGAGGTCAACTCCAAGGGAAGCAGGGGGCAGCTCTGAGTGTTTCATTTTTAGGCTGAAAGAGTCACATGAGATCCTTCAACACATTCAGATTCTATACAATTTTATTCTTCTGCTAACAAAATGATACAAAGAACCTAAAAAAAGGGAAACAAAAAATCAACTCTAAATGGCTTGCGGTTCCATGGTTGAGGGTCGAAAGGCTGCGGGTGAAGACAGAGGGCAGGGGGCCGCGTGCATCTGCTCCACGCCAGCTGGGGTGAGCCACGTGACTCAGGAGTGGGACCCACGGGCCCTCCCCAGACGCAGGAGGGGGACCGGAAGCCACTGGGGTGGGTTTTACCGCCTAACTCAGCCCCGAACCAGACCCCTGCCCACCCATGGCATTTGGCACTAGCTGTGGCCACTGCACGCTGCCCAACCACCCCTCGGGTGCATCCGGAAGCTTAGCCCCCGCCTGACCTGAAATCCATGGACCAGGCCGATTCCTAGGGAGCCCACGGGAGCTGAGGCTGGGCTGTTGGGGCCCCTTCCATTAAAGCGATCTCCGTATGGACAGCTTTTATCAGTGAACCCCCCGCCCCTCAGTGTTTAAATAAATAAATAAGCCGTAAGGAAAGTGAGGCAAAGTTACTCCAACAACATCTCCAACAACATATAGTGGGTGTGATGACACGTGCAAAGTGCAGACAGAGGCCAGGTCATTGGAAGGTGTCATGTCAGCGGCCTCAACACAGCTGGGGCCGCCTGTCAGTGCCCCGAACACGGCTGGGTGCCTTGGTCGCAGCCCGACCCCCTCCAGCACAAGGAGTGGGAACCGGGGTCACGGGAGCAGGTGTGCGTCAGACGCTCACGTGTGCGGGGCTCCAGGTCCCGAAGGCGTCCCCGCCGTTGGTTGCCGTTACCTGCTGTTACCTGGAGCCTAAACCCAGGCGGGGCCGCAGGTGGGGAGACCCAGCACCCAGGGCCACCCAGGGTCTGTGTGGCTCCTTGTGGGCGCCTGGGGCGGGGCTCAGATTAGCTCTAACTGTACAACAGCCTGAAGGCCCAGCCGGGCAGTCAGCTCTGAAAGTCCATCCGGGGCTTCCCGCCTTGGGGAGTCAGTTCTGAGAGTCCGTCCGGGGGCTTCCCGCCTCGGGGAGTCGGTTCTGAGAGTCCGTCCGGGGGCTTCCCGCCTCTCTGGGCTACACGACGCGGTCGTCTCTGCCAGCCTCCTGGGGGGAGGGGCCGATGGGGTGGACTCAATGAAAGGTTGTGTGCACACTGGCGCTCAGCCTGGACGGGAGCGCCTGGGGGCATTCTAGAAACTTCCACAAAATGTCAGCGCTGGTCAGTGAGCTCTGCAGCTCCGTTGGCACACCTGCCCAGCCGGCCCACAGGGGCAGGGTGCTAGGAGTAGATGGTGACCACCTCCCGGCCGCTGCCCCTGACCAACAGCACCCTGTTCAGCCCCTCGGTCAGGACCTCAAGGAACTCCATGTCTGCAGTGGGGCCGAGTTAAGGATGCAGCCAACCTCACAATGCATGCCAAGGGCACACCTGACTTCCCAGGAGCTGTGCGGTCGGGACTCGGCCAGAGGCGGAGGAAGCTGAGACCCAGGTCCACTGGGGGGGAGACGGGGTCGGGGACGGGCACTGTCCGTCCACCGGGACCCCACATCCGCCCGGCCACCACGGGGTGTGGGCCCCTGAGGTGCGCAGTCAGCCAAGAGCCCCCAAGGGACGCCCCATCCTAGAGACGGTCTGAGCAAGCTCCAGGAGATGCGCTGCACTGCTCTCGGAGGCCTCGGGGCCAGGGAGGGCCGCTGCGGGACACCCGTGTGGCCACAGAGTGCCCTGGGCCCCGTGGCGCCCACCCAAGTCAACCAGGGCGATACCTGGGGCCCCAGCAGCTCAGACAGGAGGGCAAACACAGCCCGCCTGCGGGAGCCCAGGCCCCTGCCGGCCATGCAGGGAGCAGACAGCTGGCAGGAGCCGCCGCACACAGCCTCAACGTCCACCAGCCCACGGCCCGCCTGCGGGAGCCCAGGCCCCTGCCGGCCATGCAGGGAGCAGACAGCTGGCAGGAGCCGCCGCACACAGCCTCAACGTCCACCAGCCCACGGCCCGCCTGCGGGAGCCCAGGCCCCTGCCGGCCATGCAGGGAGCAGACAGCTGGCAGGAGCCGCCGCACACAGCCTCAACGTCCACCAGCCCACGGCCCGCCTGCGGGAGCCCAGGCCCCTGCCGGCCACGCAGGGAGCAGACAGCTGGCAGGAGCCGCCGCACACAGCCTCAACGTCCACCAGCCCACGGCCCGCCTGCGGGAGCCCAGGCCCCTGCCGGCCATGCAGGGAGCAGACAGCTGGCAGGAGCCGCCGCACACAGCCTCAACGTCCACCAGCCCACGGCCCGCCTGCGGGAGCCCAGGCCCCTGCCGGCCATGCAGGGAGCAGACAGCTGGCAGGAGCCGCCGCACACAGCCTCAACGTCCACCAGCCCACGGCCCGCCTGCGGGAGCCCAGGCCCCCGCCGGCCACGCAGGGAGCAGACAGCTGGCAGGAGCCGCCGCACACAGCCTCAACGTCCACCAGCCCACGGCCCGCCTGCGGGAGCCCAGGCCCCTGCCGGCCATGCAGGGAGCAGACAGCTGGCAGGAGCCGCCGCACACAGCCTCAACGTCCACCAGCCCACGGCCCGCCTGCGGGAGCCCAGGCCCCTGCCGGCCATGCAGGGAGCAGACAGCTGGCAGGAGCCGCCGCACACAGCCTCAATGTCCACCAGCCCACGGCCCGCCTGCGGGAGCCCAGGCCCCTGCCGGCCATGCAGGGAGCAGACAGCTGGCAGGAGCCGCCGCACACAGCCTCAACGTCCACCAGCCCACGGCCCGCCTGCGGGAGCCCAGGCCCCTGCCGGCCATGCAGGGAGCAGACAGCTGGCAGGAGCCGCCGCACACAGCCTCAACGTCCACCAGCCCACGGCCCGCCTGCGGGAGCCCAGGCCCCTGCCGGCCATGCAGGGAGCAGACAGCTGGCAGGAGCCGCCGCACACAGCCTCAACGTCCACCAGCCCACGGCCCGCCTGCGGGAGCCCAGGCCCCTGCCGGCCATGCAGGGAGCAGACAGCTGGCAGGAGCCGCCGCACACAGCCTCAACGTCCACCAGCCCACGGCCCGCCTGCGGGAGCCCAGGCCCCCGCCGGCCATGCAGGGAGCAGACAGCTGGCAGGAGCCGCCGCACACAGCCTCAACGTCCACCAGCCCACGGCCCGCCTGCGGGAGCCCAGGCCCCTGCCGGCCATGCAGGGAGCAGACAGCTGGCAGGAGCCGCCGCACACAGCCTCAACGTCCACCAGCCCACGGCCCGCCTGCGGGAGCCCAGGCCCCTGCCGGCCATGCAGGGAGCAGACAGCTGGCAGGAGCCGCCGCACACAGCCTCAACGTCCACCAGCCCACGGCCCGCCTGCGGGAGCCCAGGCCCCTGCCGGCCATGCAGGGAGCAGACAGCTGGCAGGAGCCGCCGCACACAGCCTCAACGTCCACCAGCCCACGGCCCGCCTGCGGGAGCCCAGGCCCCTGCCGGCCATGCAGGGAGCAGACAGCTGGCAGGAGCCGCCGCACACAGCCTCAACGTCCACCAGCCCACGGCCCCATGTGCGAGCCGCGGCCTGGGTGCCCAGGCCAACCCTCAGCCCACGGCAAAGGCCCCGCTGCTCTGACCCCTCCCCGGGCGCCCCGGGCGCCTCTGCTGAGCAGGGGGTGCTAAGGCGTGACCCACCCCATGGGAACACCCGCCCCATGGGGACAGCACCGGCGAAGGATACAGTTCTCATCCCCCTGCCGGTTCTTGGGGGGCCCCGGCATGTTCAGCAGGACCAGCTGGGCGTCCTGTGACTTGTCCAGGACGACGCCGTTGAGCCGCACGGCCGTGTGCATCCTCCTCACATTGGACTGGTTCCTGGGGAGGGAGACGGCCACTCAGCTCCTCCAGCCACGTCCTGGGCTCTGGGCTCAGGCCCTCTTAGCTCCCATCAGAAAGGGCGGGTGGGCACAGGTCTGACCCGCTGCACAGAGAGCCCCCCGGGGCAGCGAGTCCACGGGGGGCTGTGATGATGCCCAGGGGAGCTGGTCTCTGTGCTTCGAGCACAGCCGTGGGACTGCACGGGGCAGCCCGCCAGCTCCCGGGCGTCTCCCGTGGAGGCCCCTGGCCGGGGCCGGCTCAGACTTAAAGGCTGCCGCTAGCTCCTGCTGACGTGGGCTGGGGTTCATGGGGCCGGGCAGAGGGCAAGTAAGGGAGGGGCTGGTCCTCCGCCGGCTCCCAAGGCCGGAGGTCTTGGGACCAGGCCACAGACTCAGGCCCACCCCCAGCTCTGCCCACCAGACGCCACAGCTGACAGCTGAAGGATGAGAGCCCCTGCCCGCGGTGACCAGACCCCATGCCTGCGTCCTCCTGGCCTGCCCCATCTCCACTCCCTAGGAGTGGGCGGAGCAGCCACAGGTACCCAAGGGCCCTGGGCGGCCCCAAGGGAGGGTCCCCAGGGGAGTGGGCCTGGGGATGTCCCCCGCCCTCCTGCCCCCGCCCCCCCAGCCAGCCGCCTTCCAGGATGCACGGAGCGGACCCCAGCTGCGGCCACCCGCCTCACGGCACCAGGAACTCCCCGTGTGCTGGGCTCTCGGGCACCTCTGCCAAGGCCAGGGCCGCACACAGGAGACGCGGCTCGAAGGTCACCTGTGGCCCGAACTGAGAGGGATGGGCAGACAGAGGCCACCCCACGAGGGGTCAGGGAAAGGCCCGCGGGAGGAATCGTGGACCACAGCCTTTGATCAACACAGCCCTTCGGCCAAATGAAGCCAATTACGGCCGCCAATTACCAGGAGGAAAGCAGGGGAAATGGAGCCTTTGGTTTCCTCTCTCCAATTTTGCCTGATAAAATTACAGGCTGGGCCTCTGTCCACAGCAGTCAGGGGTCTTTTGTTATAAGAACCATGAATTAGTTGCCAGGATGGACCACAATTACCAGTATGTTTGGGGGTAGTGACCCCAGGAATGTGCATGTGATATTAAAGGGTCTCTCTGGGTTAAGGGTCTGAAAACACATATAATCTAAAAATCAGGAGTCTGGGTCCAGACAGACCCCACGTCTCCAAGACGACAGGCCCCGTGGAGGGCAGAGGCCAGGCGGCTCTCGAGTGTCCAGGATGCGAACAGAGAGCAGCTGTGCGGCCACAGACGGGGCAGGGGGCTGGGAGCTGAGCCTGGCGCGGAGGGGCACTCAGGCCGGGGCTGCGGCTGGACACATGGAGGCCTCGCGGCCAGCGCAGGTGCAGAGCTGGGAGCCGGATCCCCGCTCCAGATGGCGGTCTGGAGGACACCCGTGATCCACACACCCGGGTCACGGGGCCCAGGGAGCCCCCCTCAGGGCAGGCACGTGTCATCAGGGGGATGACCGCCTGCCTTCCGGGAATCCCTCCAGCTGACTCCAGGGAGGCACCCGGGGGAGGCCCTGTCCCCGAGCCCGAGTCCCACGCATCCTGCTGACCCACCAGGCACACACGGGGCACGGGCGCAAGGCTCACAGCGCCTTTGGCAGGGACGCCTGCCCTGTGTCCACAGACCGGCTTTTGTCCTTCAGTCAGGAGGCTTTACGTGGAGGGCACTTTAAATTCACGAGAGAACAGCAGGCAAGGGGGCTCGGCCTGTGTTCCCAGCTCGCCTGTGTGTCCTGGGCCCTGTGCGATCCACTCGGGTTTAGGGGCTGCAAGTGCAGTCCTGGACCCCGTGGCTCTGCAGGGCAAGCGGCCGGGGCTCCCGAGGGAGGGAACACAGCCTGGAAGTCACAGGGGGCCTAGGGCAGACAGAGGCACAGCCAGGCAGCACCCCCTGGCCTGGAGCTCTGGCTCCAGAGGTTCACCCACATCCCTGCCCACGAGACTAAAGGCAGCCGCTTCCTGGGGGCGAGGGGTGCCCGGCGCTGGGCAGATGGGAGGACACACTGCCCGGGCCGAGCCGGAACGCAGAGCCTGAACCCCAGGCCCCGAGGGACGCGGGTGGACAATCACTGCAGCTTCGGGCACAGCCAGCCTCCGCTCCGCTGCAGGGCCGCTCAGGGCTGCCCCGGCTCGGTCCTCATGCGCTACCCAGAGAAGGAATTTCGGGTATGCGCCCTGAGCGGCTCTGGACAGAGGGAGCAAACTAAACAGGAAATTACTGAAAGCCAGGGTGGGGAAGCGCCACATGTACATGGACACGCACACACAGAAGAGGCAAATATACAGACACAGATACGCACACAGGCCAGGCACATGTACACGGACACACACACACAGATCAGGCGCATGTACACTATGGACATACATACACATGGACATGCACGCAAACACACAGACATGCACGCAGGCCAGGCACATGTACACGGACACACACACAGAGATCAGGCACATGTACACCATGGATATACATACACATGGACATGCACGCAAACACACACAGACATGCACACAGGCCAGGCACATGTACCCGGACACACACACACACAGATCAGGCGCACGTACACCAACAGGCAGATACACACACACTGATATGCACACAGGCCAGGCATATGTACACGGACATGCACACACACATGGACACACACACAGGCCAGGCACATGTACACCATGGACATACATACACACGGACATGCATGCACACAGGCCAGGCATATATATACATCATGGACACGCAAGTTCTCACACACACGGACATGCACACAGGCCAGGCACATGTACAAAGACATGCTCACACACAGGACCGAGCACACCCATGTATTTGAGCACACCCACACATGGGTTTGCGCCTGCATGCACTGACCCACACCTGGGACCAGGTAAATGTGTGGACACAGCATGCACAAGGCCAGGCACACGCACATACTCACAGAACACCCACACACGGCCCTGCACACACACGGGGCTGTATACACACTCGGACATGCACACGCGGTTCACGGGGGTTGTGCGTGCAGTGCATGCCAGGCAACCACGTCTACGAGGTCCGGGGTAAGGGGGTGACTTACAGGTTTCCCCATTCTCTACACGGGAGAGAAAACAGAGAACGTGTTACTTCAGGAGGACACACAGCACCTGTCACACAGCTACTCGCTTCCTAAGGCCGCCCTTTCTCAGCTGATAGTGTCCTTCTCGAGGGGACAGGCCCCCCAGACCCTGTGACCAGTAGGGCTCCATGGCTCAGCTCCACTGCCCAAGACTCTGCAGACGCTGTCTTGGCCTCCCACCCAGGACCCCGCATCTCCCAGGTCCAGCCACACCGCGCACTGAGACGGGGCCAGCCCCAGGGCTCTCAGCTCAACGCCACAGCCATGAGCTAAGCAGGGCGGAAGGGCAGCCTGGAGGGTCCCCGCTGGGGCTTGGCCCTGACCTCTGGGTGCTGGGACCCCCGCCAGGAACACCAACGGCAGCCTCACCAGCCTCCTCACCCACGTCCCCGCTAACTGCATCAGGGCTGGTTCCCTGCTCACAGGCCGTGTGGGCTGCAGCTCCTGACAGGCAGCAGGGACCCCTGCCCCCCCCCAGCTGGAGTCGGGGCAGCGTGACACTCACGGCTTCAGGCTGAAGAGGTCCTTGAACCCGGACATGGTGGTGTCCTTGTTCCGATGCTTCTCAGCAACCAGCTTCTCCTTCGTCCAGGTCATCTGCACCCTGTCGGGCGTGGACGGGGCCTGGGCCCTGGTGGTCATGGCCGAGTGGGAAGCCGTGTTCCTATCGTGGATGAGCTGAGCCTGGTGGGGCGGGGAAGCGCAGCCTCACTCACCGGCCCACACAATTGCAGGCACATAGGATCGTGGGCATGCACAGCTCCCGAGAGTGCAAGGCTGGCCCAGGGCTGCGACGCCCTCCAGGACGGGAACGAACCCCCCATGGAGAGAGAAGCCGACCAGCCCCATGGACCCAAGACAGACACGGCAACACGGCCCCAAGCCCAGGCCCGTGAGGGGCAGGTTGTAGGACCAGGCGTGGAGGCAAAATGCCCCCATGACCTCGGAGCCCCTGGCCTGAGGGCCGCGTGTTGTCCAGGCGCCTGTGGGACCCCACACACCTCCCGTTCCTGCTCTGTCTTGGACAGCTGCATCTGCTTCAGCATTTGCGACCGCTGCTCCATCATCAGCGTCCGCTCGTAGGTGAAGGCTGAGATGTCATTCTCCACCTGCGGGCCCGAAACACGGGACTGAGCCCCGTCCCCCGAAAGCGGGCCACGGCCCCAGCGGGCCTGTCCCAGGACGTGTGGCCATGAGCGTGTACAGTCATGACCGAATGCCCTCACCCTTCCTGGGGCCGTGGTCACAGACACGCGAGAGGCCCTCGCAGAGGAAGGACTGTCCCGGCTCTGGTCACAGGCCCGCCCACCCGCCCACCTGCACGGGACCGTCGGGAACCTCCCACTGGCCATGGGCTCGGATTCCGAGCGGCTGGTCCTCTGGTCACATTTTCCCGCCACGAACTCACAGCCCAGACACCCACATGGTGACTTCAGGCAAAGCTACACTGAGGGACTCGCTGCAAACCGCCCAGCCCGCCTCGACGCCAAGCTCAGAGACAGAAGGAGCCCGAGACGCAGCCACCCTGGAGCTCAAGATGGACTCCGAGGACGACTGGACCTGGGCTGTGGGGAACGGAGTCCCCGCCCAGCGCCCGCCGGCCCTCACCATCTCCACCACCTCCACCTCGGCGCTGATCCGCAGGTGATACAGGAAGGTCTGCAGGTCCTTCTTCATCTGGATGCTGTTGTCGTCCACCTGGGCCACCGTGAAGATGCGCATCTGACACCTCCTCCACACCTGGGGGGTGGGGCCGTCACTCCTGCTGCCCCCGACCCCACCCTCGGGCAACCCCACCCCCTGACCCCATCCTCGGGCGACCCCACCCCCCACGACCCCACGCTCGGGTGACCTCACTCCCTGTGAGCCTACCCCCAGGAAACGCTGCATGCCTCCCGTGCGCCCCTCCCCCCCACCTTGTGCTGCCGCAGCAGGAAGGGCAGCAGCATGAGCAGGCCCCCGTCGTGGACGATCCACCAGACGTCGATGTGCCCGCTGCTGAAGCGCTGCTGGTTGTGGGGGAACAGGTCCACGTTCTTGGCCACCAGCAGGGCCTGCTGGGCAGCTGTGGTGTCACGCACGGTGTCTGCAGGGAGGGGCGGTCACGGGTCACGGGGCCGCAGAACCCAGACGCCTGGGGCCGCTGGGGAACAGCTGGACGGGAGAGGGCTGGGGTCCCCATGCAGGCCCTGGGGGGCAGGCCCTCAAGCCCACCACCCTGCGGCTGGGGCAGGCCGGCCGGGAACCGCCCCCGGGGAACCGTGAGCCCCCCTCCAAGTGGGGCGGGGCCGTGGACCCACCAACGAAGTTCCTCCAGGAGGAGGGGTTGTCCTCCTGCTTCCAGGCCCCGGGCCAGCCCACGAGCACCGTGTTGTGCTTCATGGCCCCCAGGCCGGCCGACTGGATGAGGTGCGACATGCCGTCCCGCAGGCTGGACGACACCACCAGCTGGCAGAAGCCCTTGGTCTTCTCAGCGCTCATCAGGGCCCGTATGTTCTGCGGCGCGGGAGGGCGGGAGGGCGTCAGCAGGGGGCTGGGGGCGGACCACGTGCACCCCATCACCCCCACCCCGGGTGCCGGCAGCTTCCATGTGGATGTCACAGCCTCACACATGGAGGCTGGAGGCTAAGCAGCCAGAGTCCAGGCCAGCGCTCGGTGCGCTCGGGGCTGGCTGCGTGCACGTGAGTGCGTGTGAGGAGTGCTCACACGTCCCAGCTCATCACTGGGACCGTGCCGTCACGGCCCACACCCACACGCGCGCGCAGACACCCTGCCCTGGCTCCTGCTCCCTGGGGGCCAGGCCGGCAAGCGTGGGGCCCAACGGCTCCTCCTGGAAGCCCACGGAGCTGGCTCTTCCAGAGGGACAGGCCGGCCTCCTGAACCACACGCCAGCCCCCGATGGGAAGCTCAATGCCCAGTGAGACCACACGCGCAGGGGCCACAGGAGGCCTTCCATCCAGACGGCCCGGCCTGTGCCCACCAGCCACCTGCCGGCCCTGCCGACCGGCTCTTGGGGGCCTGGTGTGGGTCCCACCCGAGCAGGAGCATGGCCCTGTGAGGGAGGCCTGGACTCAGGGCCTCGGGCCTTGGAGCCGAGACAGCCAACCTCACTTGTCCTGAGCCCCCACTGTGGGCACTTGTGATGGACACCCAGGGAACTCACACCGACACATCTCCCCTTGACAGCGCACCCCCCTCGACTGCCCAGATGTAGGCGACCACCTGCGAGGGCTGCTGGCTGAGGGAGGAGGGTCCCAGCAGCTGGGATTGGCCCAGGGCCGCCACAGGGCAGCTGCACTGCCGCTCAGGGCCCCTGGACACGCGCCCCTGGGGACCAGCCCAGGGGCCCGGCCTCCCTGCTCAAGGGGCTCAAAGGCCACACATTCCAGCTCTGAGACCAACGGCCTCTCAGGTCACGGACAGGAGTGCAGACCTGCACTGCGGCTTTGAGGAGCCCCCGTGGGGTTCCGAGCAGCAGCGCCTGGGGCCTCGGACACCAGCCCCACCCTGGGCCTGAGGGTCCACGGTGAGGCCACCTGCTCCAGGAGACACCTCACCCACGCTCTCCCCACACTCTGGCCAGCACTGCGCTCACCAGATCATCTGATGTGGGCCCCTCCATCCCCCAAGTCCCCCAGGAACCAGCAGGGCCCCCCACCACGAGGTCACCGTTTCCACGAATGGGCCAACACACAACGTCTCAGGCAGGCCCACAAACCCTGCCCAGGCTTCCACCTGCAAAGCCGCGTGGGTGCATCCAGCAGGCATGACCAGTACAGCGAACCTGGGGCACCCGACCACGGCCTGCCCGCGGTCTTCACCCTCTGAGTCCCCCTTGAGCGCCTCCACCAGCCCCTCCCCTGGGGAACCCGCACGGCGCCGAGCTCCACCCCTGCCGGACACCTGGGGTGACCTCAGCGGGGCCTCCCCTTTCCCCCAGCAGAGCCAGGATCCAGCCAACAGCTCCGGATGGAATGGGGCCCTCGAGGTAGAGATGGCGGAGCACCCGACTGGGGAGACTGCCGCTCCATAAAACCATCGGGGAGACCAGAACCACAGATGTGAGACCCGCCTCTCCATAAACCATCACGGAGACCAGAACTGCATCTCTGCCCAGCCTCAGGCGCATCAGGTACCACCCCCATGCCAAGGATGGCAGATTTCACGAAACAGAACTCAGAGCTCATCCGTGAAAGGAACCCTGTGGGCATTTGTTGAAACACCACAAGCACCTGGCCAACTGGGAGAGCAATGGTTAAAAGCAAAACGAGCTCGTGGAATAGTATTTCCAGAGCCATTTGTTTAAACACAGCGGCAGGGGAAGGGCCGGAGGGATGCGTGCTGGGTGACGCCACTTGGGTCTGGAAGGGGGGCCGTGAATCCAGTTGTGCTGGTGCCATTTCAGGTGGCGGCGCTGAGCTCTGACCCCCCCAACCCACTCTGTCTGGGCCAGACGCCCACCTGCCCAGCCATCCCCAGAGACACTGAGGGGACAAAGGGGCCACGGTCAGAGAGAGAGAAGATGCTCTCTGGCACGCGGCCCCACACAAGTGCAGCCGGAGGCCACCCCGGCACCCTGAGCATGGAGCCGGCCACCACCTCGGCGTGGGGATTGGGTCTGGAGCATCTCACAGCAGACGCAGGGGCTGTCCAGAAGACAGCGCCGACACACGGAGGCCGCTCTGCCAGCGAGGATGGCACACGGCATCCGCACCAGGACGGCGTCCGCGACCCTGGGGTCAAACCCACGGCCACGCTCTGGCGTCTGCACCCATGGTCACAGACAACCCTGGAGTGTACACCCGGGATCACAGACACAACCCCGGTGTCTGCACCCAGGGTCCCGGACACAACTCCAGTGTCCACCCAAAGTCACAGACACAACCCCGGTGTCTACACCCAGGGTCCCGGACACAACTCCAGTGTCCACCCAAAGTCACAGACACAACCCCGGTGTCTACACCCAGGGTCCCGGACACAACTCCAGTGTCTACACCCAAAGCCACAGACACAACCCCGGTGTCTACACCCAGGGTCCCGGACACAACTCCAGTGTCCACCCAAAGTCACAGACACAACACAATCACAGCTACCACCCTGGTGACTACACCCAAAGCCACAGACACAACCCCGGTGTCTACACCCAGGGTCACGGCCACAACCCCAGTGTCTACATGCAAAGTCATGGCCACAACCCCAGTGTCTACACGCAAAGTCACAGACACAACCCCGGTGTCTGCACCCAGGGTCACGGACACAACTCCAGTGTCCACCCAAAGTTACAGACAAAACACAATCACAGCTACCACCCTGGTGTCTACACCCAAAGCCACAGACACAACCCCGGTGTCTGCACCCAGGGTCATGGACACAACTCCAGTGTCTACACCCAAAGTCACAGACACAACCCTGGTGTCTGCACCCAGGACCACGGCCACAACCCCAGTGTCTACACCCAAAGTCATAGACACAACCCCGGTGTCTGCACCCAGGGTCCTGGACACAACTCCAGTGTCCACCCAAAGTCACAGACACAACACAATCACAGCTACCACGCTGGTGACTACACCCAAAGTCATAGACAAAACCCCGGTGTCTACACCCGGGACCATGGCCACAACACTGGTGACTACACCCAAAGCCACAGACACAACCCCGGTGTCTACACCCAGGGTCACGGCTACAACCCCAGTGTCTACATGCAAAGTCATGGCCACAACCCCAGTGTCTACACGCAAAGTCACAGACACAACCCCGGTGTCTGCACCCAGGGTCACGGACACAACTCCAGTGTCCACCCAAAGTCACAGACACAACACAATCACAGCTACCACCCTGGTGTCTACACCCAAAGCCACAGACACAACCCCGGTGTCTGCACCCAGGGTCATGGACACAACTCCAGTTGTCTACACCCAAAATCACAGACACAACCCTGGTGTCTGCACCCGGGACCACGGCCACAACCCCAGTGTCTACACCCAAAGCCACAGACACAACCCCGGTGTCTACACCCAAAGCCATAGATACAACCCTGGTGTCTACACCCAAAGTCACAGACACAACCCTGGTGTCTACACCCAAAGCCACAGACACAACCCCGGTGTCTACACCCAAAGCCACAGATACAACCCCAGTGTCTACACCCAGGGTCACAGCCACAACCCTGGTGTCTACACCCAAAGCCACAGACACAACCCCAGTGTCTACACCCAGGGTCACAGCCACAACCCTGGTGTCTACACCCAAAGCCACAGACACAACCCCAGTGTCTGCACCCATGGCCCACGGCCACGACCCCGGAGTCTACACGCATGGTTCACACCCACAGCTGCCATGTCAAACACCTGGGTCATGATGACCCCAGAGAGGACGGCTGGAGCCCCTGCAGATGAGGAAGAGGCCACAGCGTGTCCCCAACAGGTTGCGTCAGAGGCACTGGCCCCCGGGCGGGTCTCCGGGACTGGCTGTCCCCCCGCCGAGGAAGGGGGTGGATGCCTCGAGATACACAGGCCGTGACCCTCCGAGAGGCCAGGCCTGCCCCAGGTACTCTGGGGGGCCCCTGGATGCAGCCTGACCTATAAGCACACGGACAGCAGGGCTGAGCCAGACCTACCAGGCAGCCTACAGGTGGGCATAGCAGACGAGGGCGCCCATGGCAGCCTGCGCCCCGCAGCCGGGCTGGAGGTGAGCAGGGAGGCCGGACAGGGCTGGGGGAGGGGGTGACGGGGGTCAGTGGGGCTGGTGTCACAAACGCCTCCTGTCTCAGAGACAGACGCGCAGCTGGGGAGGAAGACAGCCAGTAGCGGCCCTGCCTGGAAAACCCCAGGCGGGTGGGCGGGCGGGCGAGCGGAGGTGACAGGACGCGGGCCACACAGGGATAGCCAGGCGGCGCCGTCACTGTCTGTAAGCCTGAACCGTCCACAAGCGGGGTTTGAGGGTCAGGGACACCAGGGCTGCCCCAGACCCAGGGCAGAGGCCACAGCCGTGCCGGTGGGGCGTCTGAGTCGGAGGACCGAGAGTTGGCCGGCCCCTGTGGCCCCCTCTGGACGGGCCCTGAAGCGAGCGGAAGGAACAGGAACCAGTCCCGCCCACTGGGAGTCCTGCCCCAGGGCAGCGCTCAGCCCAGCCCACTAACCAGCCCACTGCCCTGCCCACCACCTGGCCCCACCCAAGGCCTCAGGGTCTCAGCGGTCTCCCTCCCTGCCTGTTCAAACTCAGAAACCACATCTGCTTGGAAACATGAACAGGACTCAGCGCAACCCATGCACCGTGGCGGGCGTGCCGGCGGAAACACTGATGGGGCCTGCTCCCCCCAGACCCCAGGCAGCCCACCTCCTCGGCCTGCTGGGCCTCCACATGCTTGTCCAGGAAGGTGCCCTCCAGCACGGAGCCCACGATGGTCAGGCCCCTGCCGGCCTTGAGCTGCGACGTGAAGGAGAGCAGGCGGGGGTGCTTCACGTGCTGCTCGGCGTCCAGGTTCAGTAGCACCAGCACCTGGGGCCTGGTTGGGGGGGGGGTGGTTACCGCGGCAACTCAGCACCCACCAGGGGGAGCCCGTGTTCCAGGGGGCAGCACCCCCCAGGAGTGGGGTGGCGGGCAGGCCCCCTCCATCCGTGGTGGAGCCCCAACTAGCTCTGCTCACCCCTTGCACCCAGCACCCCAAGCAGAGATCAGACCCGAGATGAGTGGTCCCGGTGCTCGAGGACCACCGCCCCTAAAGGGGGGCACCCCTTCCCCCCGTGAGGCCTGACCTCAGGAAGGGGCGCGGGGCCGGGTGAGTGGTCCCGGCACTTGGGGACCACCGCTCCTAATGGGGGGTGGGGCACCTCTTCCCCCCGTGAGGCCTGACCTCAGGAAGGGGCGCGGGGCCGGGTGAGTGGTCCCGGCACTTGGGGACCACCGCTCCTAATGGGGGGTGGGGCACCCCTTCCCCCCGTGAGGCCTGACCTCAGGAAGGGGCGCGGGGCCGGGTGAGTGGTCCCGGCACTTGGGGACCACCGCTCCTAATGGGGGGTGGGGCACCCCTTCCCCCCATGAGGCCTGACCTCAGGAAGGGGCGCGGGGCCGGGTGAGTGGTCCCGGCACTTGGGGACCACCGCTCCTAATGGGGGGTGGGGCACCTCTTCCCCCCGTGAGGCCTGACCTCAGGAAGGGGCGCGGGGCCGGGTGAGTGGTCCCGGCACTTGGGGACCACCGCTCCTAATGGGGGGTGGGGCACCCCTTCCCCCCATGAGGCCTGACCTCAGGAAGGGGCGCGGGGCTGGGTGAGTGGTCCCGGCACTTGGGGACCACCGCTCCTAATGGGGGGTGGGGCACCTCTTCCCCCCGTGAGGCCTGACCTCAGGAAGGGGCGCGGGGCCGGGTGAGTGGTCCCGGCACTTGGGGACCACCGCTCCTAATGGGGGGTGGGGCACCCCTTCCCCCCATGAGGCCTGACCTCAGGAAGGGGCGCGGGGCCGGGTGAGTGGTCCCGGCACTTGGGGACCACCGCTCCTAATGGGGGGTGGGGCACCTCTTCCCCCCGTGAGGCCTGACCTCAGGAAGGGGCGCGGGGCCGGGTGAGTGGTCCCGGCACTTGGGGACCACCGCTCCTAATGGGGGGTGGGGCACCCCTTCCCCCCATGAGGCCTGACCTCAGGAAGGGGCGCGGGGCTGGGTGAGTGGTCCCGGCACTTGGGGACCACCGCTCCTAATGGGGGGTGGGGCACCTCTTCCCCCCGTGAGGCCTGACCTCAGGAAGGGGCGCGGGGCTGGGTGAGTGGTCCCGGCACTTGGGGACCACCGCTCCTAATGGGGGATGGGGCACCCCTTCCCCCCGTGAGGCCTGACCTCAGGAAGGGGCGCGGGGCCGGGTGAGTGGTCCTGGCACTTGGGGACCACCGCTCCTAATGGGGGGTGGGGCACCCCTTCCCCCCATGAGGCCTGACCTCAGGAAGGGGCGCGGGGCCGGGGGCAGCGGGCGGGGGTGGCTCACCTCCAGTTCTTGGTATGCAGCGGGCCATGCTCCACATGCAGCAGGGCGTAGCGAGCGGCATTCAAGGACAGCCCGCGGATGCCGTCGCCCCACTCCTTCTCGGCCCTGTTGGGGGGGGTGGCACAGGGATGAGGCCCGGCCCCCAGCACACCCAGCCCCCAGCATACCCATGCAGACCCACAGGCAGCCAGCTCAGGGGTGTGGGGGTCTCTCAGTGCTTCTGTGACAAAGGGGCAGCTTCGCAAGCTGGGTAGGAACAGGGCAGACAGGGGAGGGGGGTCCAGGTGGGGCTGATGGGGGTGCAGGGCTCGCCAGAGTGGTCAAGGCCCCCAGACCCTCCCTCCAAGCTTGGAAGAGCTGGACGGGGCCTTCAGGCTTCACCCCCAGAGGCCTCTCATCACCCCAAGTCCAAGAGGCCCCCAAGTCCCTCCCCCGCAAGGCCTCTGCTCCCGGAGGGGGCCAGGGTATGAAGGGGAAACGCCCCTGTGATGGACCCAGGGCTCTGAGATGCAGGTAACCTGCCCATCACTTAGGGTTTTATGGGGAACCCTTTAGAAACGTTATAATGCAGCACACATCAGTGCCATCATTAGGTGGATCTCACAGCTCACAGACACACTGCTAAAATAGCGTGGTTTCTGCACTTGGACACAGACAAACGCAGAGACACATCGTAACAAACACGAGCGGACCAAAAGAGGTGCACGTGGCCGCCAGCTCACCCGCGGTACTCGATGTACTTGTAGATGCAGCCGGCGATAAGCATGGCGCACAGTGCGTAGTACCAGGAGCAGATGAACATCAGGGCGAAGCAGAGGCTCATGCCCAGGAAGGATAGAGTCCTGGGGGGGCGGCAGCCCAGGCCCACGCTCACCACCCAGACCCCAAGCCAGCACCCGAGCAGCCGCCCAAGGCCTCCCCATCCCAGCGGAAGGACCCAGGCCTTGGTGCCGGCCGAGGCTGGTCCCCCTGTGCCGTCCTGAGGGCTGAAGCAGCCCCGGGGCTGGGAGACGGCCGGTCCAGGAAAGACAGCCGGGGCCCCGGGGTGCCTGCCCCCCACACGCCCCCTGGAAGGCAGGGGCAGCTCCGCACGCTCACCAGTGGTAGTACTTGAAGCGTGGGCGCCAGCTGGGCGTGCGCAGCAGCGTCTGCAGGGCACAGGCCAGGTTCACGAACATGTAGCACATGAGGAAAAACCTGGGGCGCGAGCGGCAGCATGAGGGCCAGGCCAGGCCGGGTCCCAGGGGTCCTCCCAGCCTCATCCGCGCCCCCATGAGCAGGTGCCCCCGGCAGCCACTCACATGGACAGGATGGGGGCCACGCTGTCCAGGGAGGCGATGAGGATGCCCGTCTCGCAGATGAGCGCCGTGAGCAGCAGGGCCCACGTGGGCTCCCCGTTGGCCTTCCCGTGGCCAAACACCTGCCCAGAGAAGGGGGCGGCACCAGAAGAACACTTACGTGCGGGCAAGAGGCCGAGATGCTTGCCTTCAGCTCAAAGCAGGCCTCGGGGCGGCAACACAAGGACGGAGCCCACCCAGCGAGGGCAGGGCTCCTGGGAGGAAGCTTTGCCCCCTGCCTCCTTCCCACACGGGGTCCGGGACAGGAAACCCAGAGCCCGAGGCAGACGCGGAGTGAGACGAGAGCATAGGCCTGGGGTGAGGCGGCCAGGCTGCAGGTGGGGACCTGCGTCTGCCCGCCTTGGACCACGACGCTCATGCTCAGGGGCAGACCCCAGGTCCTCAGACACAGGCTTCCCGGGGGTCTCACACATGCGATGGGGGCGCTCACCTGCAGGAAGGGGACGATGGAGTCCCGGGCGATGGCCTGCAGCAGGCGTGGCGCCCCAGTCAGGCTCTGCAGGCCGGCCCCGCAGGTGGAGAAGAAGGAGCCGATGACGATGACCCAGGGCGACGGCCAGGCCAGCATCCCGATGACGAGGTTCCCCTGCAGGGCCTCCCCGAACCTGGGGGGGGCGGCGGCACAAGCTTCCAGGGAGCGGCCGAGGACAGACACCACCTCCCACTTCCCAAGACGGAGCGACAGCCCCCTGGAGCCTCTGCACCCAGCTCTCCCAGGGCCCAGGCTCCAGGACAAGAGGGACGCACAGGCCAGACCCCAGCCTGCTAACCGCTGGGACACCCGGCCTTCCCCCGTCTCAACACTGGTCACCAAGGAAACCAGTGCTGGCCCAGAAGCTCCCAGAAGCCATGAACGAAACATACTTATCTCGTAAGATCACGCCTTCGATGCAGGCCCCGAAAAGCACGATGCAGGAGAGGTCTGCAGCCTGGGTCAAGGACGTGGCAGGCAACACATGCTGGCCACAGGTGGGCCTGGACCAGCCCCCCGCCTGCCCACCCCATCTTGGGTCGTGGCCCCCCTGGACGGGATACCTTGGGTCAGTCGGGATGGGCCTGGCCCTTGGCGTGACCACTGCCGGGACCAAGTGGGAACCCTCGCCGGCTGGGAAGGGGTGAACTTGGACAGAAACAGCCCCACTGGCACAGCGACGCCAGGGACCCCCACGCAACAAAAGTGTGATGCCGGCACGGCGACGCCAGGGACCCCCACGCAACAAAAGTATGGTGCCGGCACGGCGACGCCAGGGACCCCCACGCAACAAAAGTATGGTGCCGGCACGGCGACGCCAGGGACCCCCACGCAACAAAAGCATGGTGCCGGCACGGCGACGCCAGGGACCCCCACGCAACAAAAGCGTGGTGCCGGCACGGAGACGCCAGGGGCCCCCACGCAACAAAAGCGTGGTGTGGGCACTGCGATGCCAGGGGCCCCCACGCAACAAAAGCGTGGTGCGGGCACACACGCAGCTGCACGTGACTCACGTATCACAGAGCCATGTGCTCAGGACGTGTGGTTCTCAGACAAAGCCATGCTCTTCAACCAACCCAGGCTGGGGACAGGGCGTCCCAGTCAGGGTGAGGCCAGCCCGGCCCCTCTGAGGGCGGGAGTGTGCTCAGGGCCACCTGAGGCCGCTGGCGGGGGGGGGGGGGTGGCGGCGGCACCTGGAGGAGCAGAGGGTGCGGCCACGAGCAGAGACTGGTACAGCTGCCCCCCCCAACACTGGGCCCCCAAGGATACAAATGAAAGACGTGGTCACGATGGCCAGGATGGTCCCGGTGGGGATGGACTTCTGCGCATCCCTGAGGTCCCCAGACCGGTTTGAGCCTGCCATGATGCCTGTGGAAGCAGAGGCTGGTGATGGTCCCCAGACACACCTGGGAGACGCTGCCCACCCAGCACTGTCAGGCAGAGTCCGAGGATGGTGGGGGGTGGGGAGGGGGTTCCTCACAATGCACGGGAGAGACCCCAGGCTGCACGGAGCTGCTGTCCGCACGCTGGGCCTCACAGACAGGCTGGACCTCACCGCACACTGCAGGACTGCAGGGCACGTGGGTGGGCACCCCGAGTCCCCCACACTGTCTGCAGGACAGCCGCCCAGCCATGAACCAAGTCATCGCAGAGACCAGAGCACGGCTCAGCCCAGGGCGCCAACGCCAGCCCTAGCCTCTGTGAGCATCCAGCTCGGACCTCGTCCCCAGAACGTGGTTAATCCCCGCGGCCGGGAGTCAGAAAGTCCCAGGAGACCGCTGCCAAACGCTGACTCACCCCCAGGCCAGGCCTGGGTCAGTGCGTGGCCGGGCCTCAGCCCCCCGCCCCCCGCAGGGAGCAGCCTCTGCCTCCACCCCCATCGCTCCGTCCAGCACATAAACTCTAAGTGAGTCCATCTGAGCTCAGAGCACGTCCTCGTGGTGGCACGTCTGTCAGCGCCTGTGATCTGTCCCGGGCGTGGCCTCAGCAGAGCCCGCGGGCATGGTGCCACGGGGCGTGGAAATACCCACACCCACAGGGAAGGCTCCTACGCCCTCATCACCGACAGATGGGGGGACAGGAATACAGGAGAAAGACCCCCAAGGGGCTGGACCCCACCGCCAACTACCGCCTAAGCGAGATGTGGCCCACTTCCACCAGGAGCCTAGAGACATGTCTGTCCACCCCTGGCTCTGAGCCACGGGCAGCAGCCCCACAGGCCGGCCTCCCCAGTGTGTGGGGACAGCCTCGGGGGGGCCTGGAGCAGGAGTGACCGACACGCAATGACGACAGGCTGCTCGGTCACCCGGGGATCAGGGGGCCAGGGAGACGGGGGAGGGGGCAGGGAGACGGGGGTGGGCAAGGGCTGGGGGGCTCCCCCGTTCAGGGCCAGGCTGAGGGCTGCCCGGGAGCAGGTGTGCGTGCGTGTACACACACATGTGAGCCCACAGACAACTGTGTGTGTGTGTATGCGTGGGGGTGGGAGCTGCCTGCACCCCAGTCCCTCCAGGAAGGTCAGCGGACTCTCTCATAACAAGGACAGTGGCCTCTGACAATCATCGCGTCCACTGCTAATGCCAAGGTCACAGGGCTTCTCTGAATAACCCGGGCTCCCAAGAGAGCGTGGATAAACCCGCCTGATGCCACACTGCTTCCCAGGCCCGCCCCTCGGGACAGACGGGGAGAGGAGACCCTTGGGCTCGTTTCTTGAGCCAAAAGGAACAGAAATGGGGCATAGGAGCCAGGGGGCCTGACCCGCCGGGAGCAGAAACGGGGGCGGGGCGCGTGCCAGAGCCCCGGGACCCAGGCCTCACCGGTCACGGACGGGAAGTAGATGCCGACCAGCATGGTGAAGTAGGTCATGATGTCGGTGAGCACGTAGGGCAGCCCGCGGGCACGGGCCTCCTCCGGCACGGCCACTGAGGGCACCCCCTTCTTCTCCACAAACGCCCCCTTGTCCGCGTACGCGCTCCACAGGTTGTCTGCGGGGGCAAGGGTGGCTCCTGAAACCCCAGTGCCCGCCCAGGGCTCAGCCCCCCAACGCTGACCCCGCCTGGACAGGGATGCGGACGAGGAACAACTGAGCCCGGAGAAAACCACATCTCCTGACGGCCGGAGCAAAGGCTTCAGTGCCGGAGTCCAAAGAGGATGCCCACCGCGGGCGACAGCCGAGCAGCAACGAGCTGCCCGAGGCATGCCGCCCGCCCCCTCCTCGTTAAGCCCCGACTGCTACTCCACAAGCCCAACGCTGGGGGCGCGACGCCGGGGCCTGACCTGCCCCCCGACAGCACACCAGGCGTCTAAGCTTGGGAAGCACCTGCCCAGGGGCCCCAGAGGGTCAGCAGCTGGGGATGCAGTCACACGGCCACCAGCAGGGCAGGACAGGACCCCAAGGAGCGGGCATGGATGGTCCACGCGGCAGAGACCTGCGGGACACTCACCCAGGGAGGGATGCTCACCCAGGGGACGGACACTCACCTGGGGGGGACTTTCACCCAGGAGGAGACACTCACCCAGAGCAGGTTACTCACAGAGGGACACTCACCCAGAAGGGGACACTCCTCTGGGAGGGGACACTCACCCAGGAGGACACCGCTGGCCACGCCTGGGATGCCCTGGATCTCGGTGACGTTGTTGTGGAGGAAGTACTGGTCGCAGGAAGTGCTGTCTGCGGAGCCGTTGCAGAAGATGCCCCAGAGCGCGGTGGTCGCTGAGCCGTTGTTGGCGGTGTGGACTTTGGCACAGACGTCGAAACCACGTCGCGACAGCGTGCGGTTCCCCAGCAGACAGACCCTGGTGGGGGAAGGCAGCAAAAAGCCTCCGGCCACTGCCCCACCCCGTAACCGAGCACGGCCAGGGGCCTCTGGGGAGGGGCTGCTGACTCTCCACTTGGCTACAGGGGCGTCCACGGGCGGCATGCCCCAGTCTGTCCCGCCACCTTCTGCTCTGGGGCGTGGGGGACTCACGGACAGCGCTCCCCCCACCAGGCGCCCCCTGGACCAGCCCCATGTGGGCTGAGCTGGGGCTCGCTCACTCTGTGACCGGGGCTGCCACCTTCAATCCCGAAGGGGACAAGGAAGGACCCTGCTCAGGGGCTCTGGTGAGGATGGGCCTTGGCTGGGAGCCGCACAGTGCTGCCGGATGGGCCTCAGGCCTGCCAGGACGGAGCGCTGACAGCTGTGGACACAGCCCAGCCCCCGGCCCGGCCGACACGCTCAGTGGGTGCAGCCCTGGCCCCGGCGGAGGACTCACGGGATGTCGGGCGGGTCGAAGGCAGTTTTGATGACGCCGGCGTAGATGGCGAGGATGGAGAGCACCACGCAGGCCAGGAACACCAGGGCCAGCTTGTTGACGTACTTGACGCCCACGAAGACCACCGTGGCCATGAGGGCCAGCGTGCCGGTCCCGTACACACGCATGTTGTGTAGCAGGGCTGCGGCCTCGCCCCCTGCGCCCTCGGGGTGCACGATGGCCGCGCCGGGGGAGATGTAGGTCTGCGGGGCACAGGGCCGGGTTGGGAGAGCCGCCCGCCCTGCCAAGGGGACCCCCAGGAGCAGCGAGGGGCAGGGGTGTCTGCCCTCCCAGAGGGCCTTCTCAGGGGCTCTGCGCTGGGTGTCACCCCACCCTGTGAGCCCCCACACCTGCAGATGCCACTGGGACAGACCCTCGGGTCACCAAACAGGGGCATCGGACGGCCACCGACGTGCTGGACAGAGGAACCCGGCCAGAAACAAAGAACTTACCAAAAAGATCTCAATGGTCCCCAAAATGTACATGGCCCCCGCAAATGTGGTGCCCAGGTAGAAGCAGAGGCCCACGGCCCCCCCGAACTCCGGCCCCAGAGACCGCGATATCATGTAGTAGGAGCCGCCCGCTGCAAGACATGCCGAACAGGGCACGGCGGGTCACGCACACGCTTCCAACCGAGACCACAGGCCTCCCGGGGCAGACGGGCTCATCCCCGCAGCAGGGTGTGAGGCGGCCGGCAGGGGACCCGCCTGGCATCTGCAGGGACTGCCCCCCGCGGTCAGCCAACTTTGGACGCCGTGACTGAAGGAGGTGCAGCCCCAAGCAGGAGGCCAGGACCCAGGGCCGAGAGCACGATGGCCGGCACCTGCGTTCTCTTAACTTCGTCGAGGATCATTTAGGAAACCGAGTCACCTGCTCCACATCACACCTCCGGGCGTGGAGGCACCCAGCTTGCCGGCCCGTCCCTGGTCCTGCTGCTTGTGGGCTGAGGCCCCACTCGGACACCGACCAGGGACTGTGTGTGGCAAGGGGCACCTGCGGGACACCTGAGGGCACACACCCTCCTGAAGAATGGCGGACCCCTCAGGGGGCTGACCACAAGGTCCTCCCGGGACCCCCAGCCACCTCCCCCAGCCCCGCGGTGCTTCGGTGTAGCTTAGTCCTGGCAATGACTTGCCTCGGGAACAGAACCACAATCTGTGGGAAATCAGAATCTAGAACCAAAGAGATGCCATGGCTCATGAGGCGCCAGCCACATCCACGGGCGGCAGCGTGAACACAACAGGAAATGCCTCAGAGGCATTTTGGAGGAGAAACTGGTTTCACGGGGACCCCGAGTGCTCGGGCTCCAGGGGAAGAGCCGCAGGTATGCACCGCACCCTAGCCTCACAGAAGCCCCGCTGCGCCCCAGGGGTGGGGACACAGGGTGGCCGGGGGGCCCCCTGTTCAACCACAGGGTCACTGCCCACAGGGCCCCTGGAGGGTAAGCCCCTGCCATCTGCCCCTCTGGACACAGGCTCCCAGCTGCTCTCAGCTGCCCCAAGGCCGCCACGTGGTGCGGCACTTCAGTCACTCAGTCCAAGGCTTTGCGACCCCATGGACTGCAGCCCGCCAGACTCTTTTGTGCATGGGATTTTCCAGGCAAGAACACTGGAGTGGGCTGCCATCCCCTTCTCCAGGGATCTTCCCACCCAGGGATCCTGATCTGCAGGCGGATTCCTCACCCCTGAACCACCTGGGAAGCCCAACGCCATCCGGGGTGCAGGGCAAAGGTCACAGGAAGTGGCCGCGCAGCACCGTCCACCCATGCGGCGCCTCCTCACCACGCCCGGCTCCCCACAGCTCCCCTACCTGGGACCACGCCGTTGGTCGCAATCGCGCTCATGGAGATGGCGGTCAGCATCGTCTGCGGACAGACAGGGGGCCTCTCAGAAGACGGAGGGTTTCCAAGAGTCCCCTCAGCATGCAGACGGCGCCAGGCCTGGGACAGGGCCACCTGCAGGCCAGCCCCCAGCTTCTGACTGCAGAAGGGCTGGGCGGCCGCGTGGCCGGAGCACTCAGGACCTCGGCGACTTGAGCCACAACGTCGAGCTCCTAGGATCACCCAGGGGACCCCCGGCTCAAGGCCCTCCTGCACTGAAGGGCTGGCTTCTAGCCAGTGCCTACTCCCAGTGGGAGGCAAAAGGCCCCATCGAGATGCCTGTTTCCTTGGGTTAGAGGATGCAGGGGAACGCCGTGGAGGCACACCTCCCATGAAGCACCCAGGACCCCATCTGTGGTGGAGGACCACCGCAGCCTGTCCAGGGTGGGCCACCTCCAGCCCCACCACCTGCGCAGGGAAGTGGCCACACCTGCGGGCTGCAGGGCCTTCACGTCACAACCTGAGAAGCAGACCGAACAGCCCTGGGGAGGCGTGAGGCCTCAGCAACCATCTGGCCGGGTCCTGCCGGGCACACTTCCAGCTCAAGGCCCTGCTGTTTCCCGCTTTCGTCAGTTTTGGGGGAGATTCTTCCAAAGATGCTCCCGGGTGCGCAGTGAAAGCAGCACGTGTAGAAGAGCACAGCGAGACCCCAGCGTGACCCCACAGCCTCGGGGCGGCCGGGACCTGGGGGAGGCCCGCGGGGTGGCCAGGGGACCCTGGTCATCTGCCCGCTGGGTCCTCTCGGGCCGGTGGCGCTTGCGGTCAGGGCGGCTGAACGGCCCTTCTCGCCACAGGAACGGAGGGAGGGGCAGGGCTGGTGCTGGGGGCCACCTGCAGGGGGCCTGGTGCACCCGGGTCTGAACACGTCACCAGTGGGCGTCCCCTCATTCCAGTGGGAGCCCCAGGAAACACCCAGACGCTCCCAGTGGGCAGGGGGGCTGCGGGAAGTGCAGGACGGACAACTGGGAGTGGTGACCATCCAGGAACACTCACTCACCCCACTCCTGCGGAGGCTCCATCAGGCCCCATCCCTGCCGGCCCGTCAGCAGCCAAGGGCCGACCTGCCCACGGGCAAGGGTGGGGTCCCAACGGTCAGGCCCCCCCACTCACGGGCAAGGGTGGGGTCCCAACCGTCAGACCGCCCACTCACGGGAAGGGGTGGGCTCTGACGGGGGCCCCCCACTCACGGGCAGGGGTGGGCTCTGACAGGGGCCCCCACTCACGGGCAGGGGTGGGCTCTGACAGGGGCCCCCACACACAGGCAGGGGTGGGCTCTGACGGGGGCCCCCACTCATGGGCAAGGGTGGGGGTCCCAACGGTCAGGCCCCCCACTCATGGGCAAGGGTGGGCTCTGACGGGGGCCCCCACTCACTCACGGGCAGGGGTGGGGCTCTGACGTGGGCCCCCACGCACGGGCAGGGGTGGGCTCTGACGGGGGCCCCCACTCACTCACGGGCAGGGTGGGCTCTGACGGGGGCCCCCACTCACGCACGGGCAGGGTGGGCTCTGACGGGGGCCCCCACTCACGGGCAAGGGTGGGGTCCCAACGGTCAGACCACCCACTCACGGGCAGGGGTGGGCTCTGACAGGGGCCCCCCACTCACGGGCAGGGGTGGGCTCTGACAGGGGCCCCCACTCACGGGCAGGGTGGGCTCTGACGGGGGCCCCCACTCACGGGCAGGGGTGGGCTCTGACAGGGGCCCCCACGCACGGGCAGGGGTGGGCTCTGACGGGGGCCCCCACTCACGGGCAAGGGTGGGGTCCCAACGGTCAGACCACCCACTCACGGGCAGGGGTGGGCTCTGACAGGGGCCCCCCACTCATGGGCAGGGGTGGGCTCTGACGGGGGCCCCCACTCACGCAGGTGCAGCACATGGACACAATGAGGAAGGACTCCAGCACGCCAGCCGCTCCCACGATCCACGTGAGGCGCAGAAAGAGGATCACGCCCAGAATGTTCTGCAGGCAGGGCAGGTAGACGCCGATGAAGGTGCCCATGCCAGGGCTCTGCAAGAGAGCAGGCGCCGTCAGGACTGGGCCAGAGCTGTGTCCACGCCCTGGGTCCCCGGGAACGCAGAGAGGCCACCAGTCCCTAAACCACGACGGGCACAGAAACACCGGGCCAGACAGACGCCGCCGTGTCCTGACCACGGGGTGGATGTGCCAGCGAGTCACCCCTTCCCAAGGGTCCCGCCCGCACGGGGCCCAGACGCGGCCTGGTAGAGGGGTTGCCCCACTGCAGGGTAAGCCCGGGAGGGTGTGTGATGGAAATGGCCCGGGTCCCTGCACAGACCATGGCCAGGAAGCCAGCCCGTCCTGCCGACAGCTGGCATGACCCCAGCGTCAGGTGGCCCACTTGGGATCTGGGGCCCGGGGTGGGGGGCACCATGGCCTGGAGGGTGAGCGGAGGGGGCCCAGGGGGGCAGGCGGCGGGGGGTCCCGGGGGGCGGCTGCGGGTCGGGGGGCACTGTGGCCTGGAGGGCGAGCGGGGGGGGGGGGCGGGTGGCCCAGGGGGCAGGCGGCGGGGGGTCCCGGGGGGCGGCTGCGGCTCGGGGGCACCTTGGCCTGGCGCCGCCGGCTATCCTCTGCCTCCTCATGCTCCACCACGCCCTGGCTCAGGTTGGTGTAGTTGGCCAGCTTGTTGAGCAGCGAGGACACCATCGGGTTACTGTCCATCTCCTCCTGTTTGGGGGCGAAGACGAGGAGTCAGCTACACGCCGCCCCCCACCCACCCCGATGCACAGTCCAACTGACCAGATCAAGCATCTGGGAGCGTCCCGCTCCCCCAGAGTGGGCGGAGAGCTCTGGACACAGCCCAGGGGGCAGGGTTCGAGGTCAGAGCTCCAGGGCCCCCAAGTGGCCTGCGTCCAGCCCCTGCGAGGGGCTCCCTGCGGCCTCGGCCTGGACCCTCGGCTCACTGTGAGGCCGGGGGTGGGCCTCTTCTCTTGTGCGGATGACGGCTCCTCACGCCGCCTCCCGCTTAGAGGGGCAGTGAGGCTCACCTCGAAGAGCGCCATGTTCTTCCCTTCGTAGACGCTCTCTGTGTCCGCCTCCCCGCGGCTGATGAACGGGCTGCTTTCCCTGGGGTGTCCATCTCCTGCGGGGAGGGGCTTGGTCAGACGGGGAGGGGCTCAGTGAGACGGGGCGGGGCTTGGTCAGACGGGGAGGGGCTTGGTCAGACGGGGAGGGGTTCAGTGAGACGGGGCGGGGCTTGGCCAGACGGGGAGGGGTTCAGTGAGACGGGGAGGGGTTCAGTGAGACGGGGCGGGGCTTGGCCAGACGGGGAGGGGCTCACTGAGACGGGGCGGGGCTTGGCCAGACGGGGAGGGGTTCAGTGAGACGGGGCGGGGCTTGGTCAGACGGGGAGGGGGTCAGTGAGACGGGGCGGGGCTTGGCCAGACGCGGAGGGGGTCAGTGAGACGGGGCGGGGCTTGGCCAGACGCGGAGGGGGGCGGTCAGATGTGGCGGGAGTCACAGGGGGCAACAACAGCCCCTCTCTCCATCTGGCCCTCACGCCCTCAGTGATCTGTTCGGGCGAGGGCGCGGGGCAGAGATGAGGCCCAGGGCCGCGCTGGGTTCAGGAGCTTGGGGATCAGCCCCAGCATCGCAGGTCCTGCAGGACAAACATCTCACAACGAGCGGCTCCCGCAAGCATGGCCGTGAGCGTCTGCCGGGACCAGGGGTCGCCCCTCACCGCCCAGCCCCCCAAAATCCAGAGGCCCCACTCAGCTCCACGCCCCTCCACCGAGGCCTCCCAGCCCGTGGAAGCACCCAGCGGGCAGAGCCCCGGCCCTGCTGGATAAACCCGCGCTGCCCAGCCCCGGGGACCACTGTGGGGGCACAGGCCCGTGGGGCCCAGAGCTGGGGTCAGTGCTTGCGGGGGGTAACCACCGGCAGACAGACGCGGGGAGCATGGGTGAGAGCTGGAGGCCGGGGTGCTGCCCGTATGAGCCGACCACCCAGCAAACCAAGGTTAGGTGAATGTGAGGGTCACAGGCTATGACATCCAGGAGAGGATGCGCTGAGCCCCAACAAGCGGAGCTGAAAGCCAAGCGGGGACCACCCACAGGGCGGGGCCCCCTTGGGAGAGAGGCTGCGGGGACACAGGCCAGCTCCAGAAAGCTCCGGAAGCTTCCAAAGGGGGGAGGGAGAAGACGCCGGGCAGGGACACGCGATCCTGCGCTCACTCGCGTGTTCTCTGAAACCGAGGTTCTGACGTCAGGTCAAAGCAAAGGCCACAACACAACCCCACGGACCCCATTTCCTCCCTCGGGATCTTCCCGACCCAGGGGTGGGACCTCTTTCTCTTACGACTCTGGCACTGCACGTGGGCTCTCTGCCATGCGCGCCACCTGGGAAGCCCTTTAAGAAACACAGCTACGCTCAACCAGGCAAGAACTCGTGCCTGAACGGCCCCTCCCTGCTCGGCGGGCGTCTCGGGCAGCGCCAGCCCCTCCCTGAATCCTTCCCGCTGCCCGCCGGTCACTCAGCACCCTTTCCCGGTCCCCACGACTGGGCTTTTCTGGTAATAACAATCCTTTTTCTGGTAAGGAGAGCCCCGCATTTCCGACTGGGTCACTGGCGAAAATGAAGCTGCAGAGAGCTGTCTGCAAACTGGATGCTGGAGGACACGCAGGCCGGCCCGGCCACGCCAGCCGCCCCCGGAGGGGTGTCAGGTTCCCCCTCTGCCCGACCTTGCACAAAGTCACGGCCCCCGCCTGGGTCTTGTATTTCTCATCCGGGAGGGGCGGCTGGCGCAGGCAGGGCCTCGGCTCCGCTGTCACAGAAGCCCTGGGGCGCCCATCCCAGCCCCACCTGGAAGCACAGCCTATGCAGGTGGGGACCTGGAGGGGCGGCCTGAATGCCCTCAGGCACGGGGCGGCCGGGCACCTGCAGTGGGTCTAACCCCCAGGAAAGCAAGCGGCGACCTCAATCGGGAGCTGGGACAGCCCGCCCATCCCTGCAACTGAGAGAGCTCTGAGACCAGAGGCCGGAGGGGAACAGAAGGGGCCGGGGCGCGGACAGGCCACCACCAGGGTGCACGGACCCGGGTCGGGCAGATGTGGTAGCTCGTCCCGCCCACAGGGCGACCCTGGAGACTGGGAGGTGACACGGCGAACGCCCCTCCCCCAGGCCAGGACGGGGCGCACGCTGCAGGCGGGGCAGGCGTGGCGGGTGCCTGCATACAGGAAGCCCGGCGCCCGGGAGGGGGGCCTCCGACTTCCCACCTCGCTACTTCTGACCACGGTGTTGACATCATGTGCAACGAGCAGGGGACTTGGAACACACACAAAATGCACCAGAGACACAGCAGCACACACCCCAGGCCTCTCCATAAAGCCTGGCCTGGAGGCCGCCCCCGGCACACAGCGAGCTCGGTTCCCACGGGAACTGCCAGGACTCGCCTCCCTCCCGTCCTGGAGACTCGCCCAGGGCTTGGGCCAGCACCAGGAGACGCGCACACGGGGACAAGCGGCTTCGCAAGCAGATGGGCAGCAGCCTTCTCCCCAACCCGCTCCAGCCGAGACCCCGGACTGAAGATCAAAGAGCAAGTGCTTCCTGGGCTCCCCTGGTGGCCCAGGGGTGAGGAGCCGCTTGCCAAGCAGGAGACACGGGTTCCAGCCCTGGGCTGGGAAGACACCAGGTGCCCCAGAGCAGCGAAGCGCGCGCCCCTGGAGCCTGTGGTCCACAGCAAGAGGAGCCGCTGCAACAGAAGGCCTGGGCAGCAGCAAAGACCCAGCACGGCCAAAATAACACACAAAGCAGCCACGCAGAGATCAGGTCATAATTAAAGGGGAAATCCAATGTTTCCACCTGAGGGGCTCACCTGTGTTTCCACAAAACAGAAAACACCTGTCACCCTTAACCGCTCTCACCTCTGCAGAATAAACAGCATCAGCTTTTACCTCTCAAGCAAGCAGCAGGTTACAACTCCCGTCTGCACAAAGGAGTCCCTGGCATGAAGACCCCCAGGGCCTGAGCCCTCCGTTCACATGGGGGCTCTGAAGGGCCGGGGTCCTACCGGGGCTCACTCTACTTGTTCGTGATGACAGGGACCCAGGACCAGCCCGAGCAGAGGGAATACCGGGGACCTCACCCCATCCATCCTCCTGGAGTGGGTCCCCCAGTGTCCCCGAGGGCCCAGCCGCTGTCAGGACACGTGACGAGGGTGCCCCCAATGCAGATCAGGTGTCCGGGGCCAGGTCGGCTGGGAGGGCAAGGCCCCACCCTGCCGTCCCCAGGCCGGGCACTCAGGAGAGGCAGCCCCACTGGGTAACCTGCTCTAACGGGCAGGCCAGGCTCGCGTCAGACATCTAATTATGAAACGGCCAAGAGGCCATGGGGCGGACCCCCAGTGCTCCCAGCAGAGCCGGCCCCTGCGTCTGTCGGTTCATTCCCCACTCACCCACACAGCCCGCCTCGGTTCACAGGTGGGGCCCCTTCAGAATCCCCCAACGTGCCACCGCTGGGGCTCACCCCACACGCTGATCCGCGCATGCTGACCCACCCTGCGGCCTCCGCCCTTTTCACCTGCCCTGTGTCCGGTTCCCCACACCAGTTTTGATGCCCCGCTGATGGCTCCATGAGATGCAAACTGAACCCTGAGTCTGTAAACCTGAGTGGGGACCAGGGACGTGTGGACACAGGGCTCTGGACTCGGGGCGGGAAGCCCGCACGGTGCTCTGGCCCCTGCTCTCCCGAGGAGACTGGGCGTCCCGGTCATGAACACAGCAGGGCCTTCTGCAAGGCGTGGGGGTGGCCGGGACCAGGCGGGGGCAGAGCCTCGGTCAGAGCCCTGACCACCGAGGCCCCATGGGCAGTGGCTCCCCCCCCCTCCACCGGGCCTGTGTTTGGGGCTCAGCACGTGTCTCGGGAAAGGCCCCCAGGCTCAGGGCCAGAGGCGCTCCTGAGGGTCAGCTGGGCCATGACCTCTTCCCGCTGCTGGGCATGGGTGGCCTGCAAGGGGGTGCGGGCGGCGGGGGGCACCCAGTCCTCCCGGGGGGCGCAGGGCACCTCCAGCACAGCAGCCCCACCTGCAGACCTCGTGGTGAGCCTGACCGGCCACTCCCTGGGCCCCCCATGCAGCTGCGGCCATGGCCCCTGCGGCGGGCTCTCCTCCAAGTCACCCGGGGCTGGGACCGGGGGTTTCAGGTCCCACGACAGCCAGAGTTAACGAGCGCCCCCTGCCCTCGATGCTCTGCGACCAGGATCGACGCTGGATCTGACATCCAGGACCTGGCCACCAGCGCACCGCCCAAGGGGCATGGGCCCAGAAGCAGCATCCTGCGATCAGGCCGGAAAAACTGAACCGCTCGAGCCCGGGGGCTTCCATGCTCTCACAGCAAGTCTGGGGCTGAAACAGTAACTTGTTCTGCAGCGAGGACAGAGCCGCCCATGGCCCCTCCAGTCGACACCGCCTCCGGCACAGGCATCTCCCCCAGCATCTGCTCCTGGAGGGCCGGCCAGCCTTCCCACATGGGGCTCTGGCGGGAGAGAGATGCTCCAGCCCACAGCTGGGAGCCGCGAGGGGGGCGGCAGGTGGACGAGCCCCAGACCCCCAGAGCCTCTGATGGGGGGACAAGCCCCGGGTCCCCCAGAGCCTCCACAGGTGGACGAGCCCCAGCTCCCAGAGCCTCCGGGATGAGCCCGGATCCCCAGAGCCTCCATGAGGTGGAGGAACCCCAGGCCCCCCAGGGCCTCCAGGGGTGGACGAGCCCCGGACCCCAGAGCCTCCACAGGGGTGGACAAGCCCCGAGCAACAGAGCCTCTGGGGGTCTCCCTGACCCTTGCTCTCAGCCTGCGAGGCCCCCGTGCCAACCCAGGGAGGAGCGGACGCCGAGACGCCACATGCCAGGGGCCGGGCTGGGTGACACGAGTTGGCAAATGTAGTCTCCATCCTGTGCACCCAGCCCTTCTGGCCCACCCTGAGCCGACCCTGCCACCAACAGCCCCCCTGCCAGAGCTATAGGCAGTGTCGTCCCATCCCGGGCCACGGTGCAGGGCGGGAGGCGGGCCGGCACCCTGCCCCCAACTGGGAGTGCCCTCCATACGCGTGTGCCTAGCATCTGGCTTGCCGCCCAGAGCCAGCGCCTGGCG